AAACCGAAATCGGTGGACTCGATAATGTAAGTGAATGCTGTTATTTTTTGTAAGTACTTGCTAATACCCACTCAGTAGATAACTTCAGGAGCTAAAAAGCTTTCCTGAGAGTCAAAGAGACCTTTGACTCCGCATTCCTTTCTCTTTTCTTCGCTATAGCCGCCTCTTTAATTCATAAAAATCGTACATCTTTTAAGGTTCATACCGAATGTGTTTTATTGCAACTTCAAGTGCATATTGAAATCCATCTGTAATGCTAAATAATAAATAATGCGGCCTTTGCGATGACTGTTATGTAAATTCTTTAACACTTAATTTTAACGCGTATTTGATTTCTGTCCACATTTTTTTTTTTTTTTTGTATTTAAGTTACTCCACATCGTTGTAGTTTTATCAAAACGCTTGCGTTGTGTACGGCAAAGTCGCCTTATTCCGAACCAAATCGTTTACATTGTGAAGTGGAAGAAAATTTAGATTCTCTGCTTGAACGAGTCATGCTTGTATGTTGTATGACGAAATAAAAAAAGTTGGTTTCACAAACGGCTTGTGTGGTATATTTCGCTGTTACGTTGTACACAAGTTTCAACGATATGTTGTCTAAGAAATCTGAAATACATATTTCGGAGTGCGAAATATTCGCTTCGAACCTTGTATCCTCAAATAGCACAAATAGTTATATGTCCGTTCGTATCCCCTAGAGAAGCACAGCAAACCCACTATTCCTTGATTACCGAGCGAAGGCCACTTCGAATATTTTGTTCAAATTAGTCAACCTTTATTAGTAGCTGCGCCATTCTTCTCAACTTCCGAGTGTAGGGTCAGGGCTCAAACCTTGGTTGTTGTTGTCGTAATAACATACAAATTACACGCATACGCTGGAGTGAAAGTCCAGGTATAAGTCTGGGTTATTCCGTAACATACGCCCGACTGTCATCGGAAGGGTCGAACCTAGATGCTACCGAGCGGTAGTACACACCTGTTACCACTTGGCTACAGCAGCCGCCATCGCACCCTATTTTTTGTTTCATATGTATCAGCTAACATCAATTAACTGCGGCTATCTTAATAGGGAAGTCCGATTTCGGCCGAGTTTTTCGATTCTGTGCTATCGATGGCAACTGGATCAGGTCCTTAGGATAACCCTTGCCTAATTCCAGTGAACGAGTAGATACATATATGTTTAATAACCTTTTGCTTAATAATAACAATATTTTTGAGCGACCTGCTGCTTATTTGTAAGAACCATTATAAAAGATCATTTTAATATTCAAACAGCCATGCGAAGAGGGCGAAAGCACTAGTGGATAGCAAACTCGAGCTTATTTTGTGCACAAAATTCATATTTTTTAATATATTTCACCAGGGAAATGAATCGTCGCATGACAGAGGAGCAAGCGAAGAAAACCTACGAACGTGCGATTAAAATGGAACAAGAATTCGGCGAATATTTCACAGGTTACATATAAAATAAAATTTTTACTCCCAATTATATAACAAATATTAATTTTATTTNAATCTCTATGACCTACAGCCACGACGACATGGACACTGCCGCCTCGAGTACGCTGTCGACCAGTCTCGAGATCAACAACAAATCAACATCAACAGCAAACGCACTGATTTTGAACGATATTGATGGAGCAGGAGCACGATGTCGCCAACGACGTCATAACAACTACAAACCCAGCTGACGATTGAGTATGTATGCAGTTGAAAATCGCAGCATAATAAAGTCTAAAATGGCAATAAAGCAACAACAGCTATAGTTACAGCGAATGAGGCATTGAAGTTGGTGCCATTTGAGCGATTATCGAGTATAAACTAAAACACACCACCGTCACCACACTACAGAAGACACCGCCTGGCAAGTTGGTATTACTACATCGTGTGTGTGTGCGCGCCTATGTGTATATGACGGTTTGCGTCGTTGGTGTGACAGCGCACTACAGAGAATGAGCAGAAAATTATGCATAACTATAGATGAGAGATGTTGTAGCTAATATAAAAAATAATAATTGTAATAATAAGAAGAATAAGGCAGGCTGCGACTCCTACGTACATATATACTGAAGATGGTGCATTTGTTGTTTGTTTGTTACCGCTAGCAATTAAAAATTCGATAATCGATGAATACATTATATATATAGACATAAATATATATATATATACAATATTATACCTATAAAACTAATTAGAAACGAAAAAATTGTAATGACTTTGAGTATAGCCACTCACCATACAAATTGCAAATACTACATACAGACGGACATCCATACATCCATACAAACTACATACCTGCTTGCATATAACATACAAAGTAAATTAAAGCACATATGAAATACGGAAACTGCGATTAAAATTCATAATTAGATTTAACTAACAAAAAAACGTAAAATAATGCGTTGAAGCAAATTCGCTGCAAACACTGAGTAACTAAAAGATTAGAAGAAAAAATTCACTTAAAATGAGAGTACTATAAATATAAAAATAATGATTTCCAGTGCCGACGAACAAACTCGCTTTAAAATACGCAACGATACTTTGCATGCGAGGTGAAATGTCGTTGAAGTTAGTTGAGCAAATGCATGTAAAAGTACAGTTAAAGTTTAACTAAAGTAGAACGCGGCGTAAAATTAGAAAAGAAAAAAGTATATATATTGCAATTTAAAAGCGTAGTTAAAGAGGAAAAAATTTAAAATTGTTTTATTAACGTTATAACGTACAATAATTTATTTATATATAAAAAAAAAGAGAAAATCGTGTAAAGTGTAAGACGTGAATGTTAAAAACTGTAGTTGTCATAAACAGAATTAAACAAAAAAAAAGTATGCGAGATAAAACTTCAAAGCATTATTATAGTTGCATATAATTACATACATTTTTAATTGTTTTAATATAAGTGTAAACTTTTCTTCAAACTGTCACAATTTATGTTAAAGCAATCGCAGAAGTTGAGACAAAAAATTTGTTCACTTAGAAGAATAAATGTGCTTGTATGTTTTGTTTGCATAATTTTCATACGAGTTTTACCAGCAGCGACAAGAGATATATTTTGAATAATATTTGCTATACGTATGCATACTCCATTGTTTATATCCATACATGTACAAGAGGTACCACAAAGTACTATATTTATTTCGTTTATAATTTATGCATCCACTATCTATTACCCAGTTGGTTGTGTATTGTGTATAACTAAAACAACAAACAGCAACT